AATTGGAACTTGATTCATACAAGGATTAAGAGTCGAAAACGGTACAACGAATCGCCTTCTTTCTCTAATAATTGAACGAAACATCAAAGCTTCCGCGCTTTGTGCGGGAAGGGGGGGGGGAGACTAAATTCAGTCAAGGATTAAGAGTCGAGAATGGTACAACGAATCGTCTTCTTTCCTTAATAATTTAATGAAACGTCAACAGAAACTGAATTTAGACAAGGATAAAGATCCGAGAACGGTACAACGAATCGTCTTTCTCTAATAATTTCATGAAACGCAAAAGCTTCCACGCTTCGCGCGGGAAGGGGGGGGGGGGGGGGGAACTGAATTCAGTCACTGAGGATAAAGAGTCGAGAATGGTACAACGAAACCTTTTCTTTCTTTAATAATTTAATGAAACGTCAGAGTTTCCACGCTATGCACGGAGGTATTGGAACTTGATTCAAACAAGGATTAAGAGTCGAGAATGGTACAACGAATCGTCTTCTTTCTCTAATAATTTAATGAAACGACAAAGCTTCCGCGCTTCGCGCGGGAATGGGGGGGGGGGGGGGGGGGAGGGACTCTGAATTCAGTTAAGAATTAACTGTCCAGAATGGTACAACGAAACGTCTTATTTCTTTAATAAGTTAATGAAACACCAAAGTAAACTGAATTTAGACAAGGATTGAGAGTAGAAAACTGTACAACGAATCGCCTTCTTTCTCTTATAATTTAATGAAACGTCAAAGCTTCCGCGCTTCGCGCAGGAAGGGGGGGGGGGAGGAAGAAACTGAATTCATTCAAGGATAAAGAGTCCAGAATGGTACAACGAAACGTCTTCTTTCTTTCATAAATTAATGAAACGTCAGAGTTTCCGCGCTATGCGCGGAGGAATTGGAACTTGATTCAAACAAGGATTAAAAGTCGAAAACGGTACAACGAATCACCCTCTTTCTTTAATAATTGAACGAAACGTCTAAGCTCCCGCGCTTCGCGCGGGAAGGGGGGGGGGCTGAATTCAGACAAGGATTAAGATTCAAAAACGGTACAACGAAACATCTTCTTTCTCTAATAATTTAACGAAACGCAAAAGCTTCCGCGCTTTGCACGGGAAGGGGGGGGGGGGGGGGAGAGAAACTGAATTCAATCAAGGATAAAGAGTCGAGAATCGTACAACGAAACGTCTTCTCTCTTTAATAATTTAATGAAACGCCAAAGGAAACTGAATTTAGACAAGGATTAAGAGTCGGGAACGGTACAACGAATCGCCTTCTTTCTCTATTAGTGAAACGTCAAAGCTTTCGCGTTTCGCGCGGGAAGGGGTGGGGGGGGGGAGGAACTGAATTCATACATTGAGTAAGAGTCGAGAATGGTACAACTAAACGTCTTCTTTCTTTAATAATTTAATGAAACTTCAGAGTTTCCGCGCTATATGCGCGGAGGAATTGGAACTTGATTCAAACAAGGATTAAGAGTCGAAAACGGTACAACGAATCGCCTTCTTTCTCTTATAATTTAATGAAATATCAAAGCTTCCGCGCTTCGCGCGGGAAAGGGGGGGGGGGGGGGTGGGGGAACTGAATTCAGACAAGGATTAAGAGTCGAGAATGGTTCAACGAATCGTCTTCTTTCTTTAATAATTTAATGAAATGTCAAAAGAAACTGAATCTAGACAAGGATTAAGAGTCGAGAAAGGTACAACGAATCGTCTTCTTCTTTAACAATTTAATGAAACGTCCGAGCTTCCGCGCTACGCGGTAAGATACAGATCCGCTACTAGTATTTCATGTGAATGGGGGGTATAGAAATACAATTTTTTGACCCACCTTCAATTCAATCAATAGGCATAAAGTAGGATAACATAGTTTTTACTTAACTGTCGCATTCAATTTTAGCAATGTTTTCATGCATTAAAGTGATTACGATCAATTGCGTTCGCAAGTGCACGCATATGCGCGCGATCAACTGTGATGTGAATATATTTCACTTTAAAAGTCCCCCCAAAAGACCCGCCGCAACTTAAATCATTTTTGAAAAAGAGAAAATATTGCGTCATATAAGATAATAAGTCCGCCAATTTGATTTTGGTTTAGAGAGTTTGAAAAGGATCCACCTTCAATTTAATCAACATGCCTAAAGAAAGATAACATAGTTTTCACTAAACTGTCGCATTCAATTTTAGCAATGTTTTCATGCATTAAAGTGATTGCGATCGATTGTGTTCGGAAGTGCGCGCAGTCAACTGTGAGGTGAATAGATTAGTTTCCCAAAAGACCTGCCGCAACTTAAATCATTTTTTGAAAAAGAGATAGCGTCTAATATATTTTTCTCCGCCGATTAGTTATCACTTTGAGGTTCCCCCGCAACTTAAATCGTCTTTTGAAAAATAGATAAATATTGCGTTTTATAAGATAGCAAGTCTACCGATTAATTTGGTTTAGCGAATTCAAAAAGGATCCACTTACAATTTAATCAATATGCCTCAAGAAAGATAACATAGATTTCACTAAACTGTCGCTTTCAATTTTAGCAATGTTTTACATGCATTAAAGTTAGTGATTGCGATCGATTGCGATCGCAAGTGCACGCATATGCGCGCGATCAACTGCCACGTGAATAGTTTTCACTTTAAAATTCCCCAAAAGACCCACCGCAACTTGAATCTTTTTTCCAAAAAAAAAAGAGACAAAATATTGCGTCATAAAAGATAACAAGTCAGCCGATTCGATTTTGGTTTAGAGAGTTCGAAAAGGTTCCGCCTTCAATTTAATAAAAAATAGAGTGATATTGTCTAACATATTTTTTCGTAACCGACTAGTTTTCACTTTCATATTCCCGCCGCAACTTAAATCATCTTATGAAAAATAGAAAGGTATTGCGTCTGATAAGATAACAAGTCCACCAATTTAATTGTGGTTTAGAGAGTTCGAAAAGGATTCACCTTCAATTTAATCAACTAGCCTAAAGAAAGATAACCTAGTATTCACTTAAGTGCCGCATTCAATTTAGCAATTCCATGCATTAAAGTGATTGCTATCGCAAGTGCACGCATATGCGCGCGATCAACTGTCACGTGAATAGTTTTCACTTTAAAATTCCCCCAAAAGACCCGCCGCAACTTAAATCGTTTTTTGGAAAAAGAGACAAATATTGCGTCATAAAAGAAAATAAGTTCGCCGATTTCATTTTGGTTTAGATATTTTGAAAAGGATCCGCCTTCAATTTAATAAAAATAGAAAGATAACGTCTAATACATTTTTGTCCGCCAATTAGTTTCCCGCCGAAACTTAAATCGTCTTTTGAAAAATAGTATTGCGTCTGATAAGATAACAAGTCCACCTATTTAATTTTGGTTTAGCGAATTAAAAAAGGAACCGCCTTAAATTCAATCGAAATTGAAAGATAACGTCTAATATATTTTTTCACCGCCGATTAGTTATCACTTTGAGGTTCCCGCCGCAACTTAAATCGTCTTTTGAAAAAATAGATAAATATTAATAATAATAATAATAATAATAGATTTATATAGCGCAGCTTTTATACAAAATATATTCAGCTGCGCTGGTTAAGAGCTCCTTTTTACTAAATTCTACAAAATAAGATCACTCAGTTGAACAAATAAGTTTTTAAATTGGATTTAAAAACATTGAGAGATGGAGTGCTTCTTATTTCTATTGGCAAGCTATTCCATAATTTGGGGGCGGCAATAGCAAAAGCACGGTCCCCAAGAGTTACTTTAGTTTTGCCATGGGGAATCTGAAGCAGTAATTTATCTGTGGAACTGCGCAGGCTACGACTGTGTGATTGGACTTTGAGTTGAAGTAATTCTTTGATGTAATTAGGGGCTTGACCGCTCAATGATTTATAGACGATTAACAATATTTTGAATGAGATTCTTTGACGGACTGGCAACCAGTGGAGTTCTCTCAGAAGAGGTGCGGTTGAAGTGAATTTCGACCGACGATAGACAAGTCTTGCACATGCATTTTGTACTCTTTGTAACTTAGCTATCAGAGAATCAGGCATTCCAAACAGCAACCCGTTACAATAATCAAGCTTACTTGTGATAAGAGCGTGTACAACCAATTTCATACTTTCTTGATCAAAATATTTGCGGATACGTCTGAGATTGTACAGAAGATAGTATGTTGATTTGCATATATTTTTAACATGTGTTTCCATGGTTAAATTAGTATCAAAGTATACTCCTAAATTCCTTGCTGTAACAGAGGGTATCACATTGGAGGATCCAACTCTTACACCGTCAATGCTTATTTTTGAGATCTGTTGTGGAGTTCCTATAACCAAAAATTCACTCTTACTATCGTTTAGCTTAAGATTATTGTTAAGCATCCATCTATGAATAAAATTAACACATTTTTCCAACATTGAAACACTTGCATCTTGAGTACTAGTGGATGGTCTAAAGGATAAAAATAATTGTGTGTCGTCTGCATAACAGTGACAGGAGACTTCAGGAAAATTATCCTGAGTGCTCTTGATTAGATTACTCGTGTATAACATAAAAAGCAAAGGGCCGAGCCGAGAGCCCTGTGGCACACCAAAGGGCACCTGGAAAGAGTCAGAGACAATGCCATCAATTTTAACTTTTTGATGTCGATCAGACAAGTATGACTCGATCTATTGCGTCTCATTAGATAACAAGTCTACCGATTTAATTTTGGTTTAGCGAATTCAAAAGTCATCCGCCTTCAATTTAGTCAAAAAATGAACGTCTAATATATTTTTTCCCGCCGATTAGATTTCACTTTGAGATTCCCGCCGCAACATTATGCGTAAGTAGCAACAATAACTGACAAAAATAAAAAAGCAAACTATCGCCAACAGAGGGCGACATTTCATACGGAAGGACTGCATTACATTTTAGCAATGTTTTCCACGCACTAAGCTGATCGCGATCAATCGCGTTCGCGCGCAAGTGCACGCGTATGCGCGCGATCCACTGTGACGTTGATCGCAGGCGGAACTGTACCTTGAAAAGATAATCAGTGATAACTGATCATTAGCCCATACAATTGCTGCAACAGACTCAGGGATCAAGCTTAGTACTTCTTTCTCTATTTAAAATTACCAGTTAACCAGGCATAACTCTGAATTTGCACAAGTTGAATCAAATTTTGCATAATTTGAACTATATTTTGCAGTCCGAATAGATTTGTCTTATGCAATGTATTTGTGAAATGATTGCAGCTTTAGTGTAGATATATGTTTATTTTCTCTTTTCAATTGTAGGTCTCATTCAGATGATGGCTGCAGCTGAGGCAGGCAGAGATCTAGCTTACTTCACATTTGAAGATAAGGATTTGTGTGATGATATGGCAGGCATGCATGACTTTCTAACATCCCAGTCTGTTACAATTGGTGAGCTTTAGTCTCTTGGTTTCATCTGGTTTGAATGTATTTTTATTCATTAGTTTTCAAGAATATTTTGGATCAGTTAAAACAAAACCACCTTTCAAACATGCCAATCACAAATGTATATATCAATATCACATATGTATTATCTGCTCTGTTGTAAGACTGCAACATTAAAGGGAAATACAACCTTGAAAGCAAACTACTCTGCAAGAAAGCAGAAAAATCAGAGAACCAGCCTGGTGAAAGTTTAAATGAAATTGGACAAAGTATGAGAAAGTTATGAATTTTAAAAAAGTTGTAATCACTATAAATTAGCTGAATCAGACATCTTTCCCATTTGTTTCAACACACAAAATTACTAAAAATCTATATTTTTTCAATATGTATGACTTGGGGTTGTCTTTTCCTTATAGAGGACCTGTAATCATATACAATGTACATGTATTCTCCATATTATACATTTTTGTATTTTGATTAGTGAGTGCCCCAAGGGTTAAGGCACTTTGGAGAAATGCAGAAATTAGTGATATTTTTGTACACAACAAACAGGAGTTATCCGTCACTACTCCATTATATCAATTAATTCCATTATATTATTATAATTCAATTAATTCCATTATATTATTATAATTCAATTAATTCCATTATATCATTATAATTCAATTAATTCCATTATATTATTATAATTCAATTAATTCAATTATATTATTATAATTCAATTAATTCCATTATATTATTATAATTCAATTAATTCCATTCTATTATTATAATTCAATTAAAACCATTATATTATTATAATTCAATTAATTCCATTATGTTATTATAATTCAATTAATTCCATTCTATTATTATAATTCAATTAAAACCATTATATTATTATAATTCAATTAATTCCATTCTATTATTATAATTCAATTAATTCCATTATATTATTATAATTCAATTAATTCCATTATGTTATTATAATTCAATTAATTCCATTATGTTATTATAATTCAATTAATTCCATTATATTATTATAATTCAATTAATTCCATTATATTATTATAATTCAATTAATTCCATTATATTATTATAATTCAATTAATTCCATTATATTATTATAATTCAATTAATTCCATTATATTATTATAATTCAATTAAAACCATTATATTATTATAATTCAATTAATTCCATTATATTATTATAATTCAATTAATTCCATTATATTTTTATAATTCAATTAATTCCATTATATTATTATAATTCAATTAAAACCATTATATTATTATAATTCAATTAATTCCATTATATTATTATAATTCAATTAAAACCATTATATTATTATAATTCAATTAATTCCATTATATTATTATAATTCAATTAATTCCATTATATTATTATAATTTGATTAAATTTTAGGTGAATGTAAACCATCACAAAGCAATTAATTGGCCCAAGTAGAATGTTGTTATGTTATACATGAACAATCATCCTAATGATCATGAATGTCAATACTTGTTTTGATTAGGTGATTTATGGAGAAACCTGCACAGATACAGAACGGATGTGTTAAGACGTAGTGCAGGAGTCTCTAAGCCCAAGCTCTTTCCATACCTCTATCAGCTCTACACTGTTTGTGACTCAGACACTGATGAGTATGAGACCGAGGCAGGCCCTACAGCTCAAGTTAAGGCCGCTGCCGGTGGAAGTCGTAGTCCTAACTACAGAGCAGAAACACCCTGATGCTTCTTGATATGTTGTGATGTTTAGATTATTGAGACTCCCAAATAAAGTTGTAGTGCAGGGGCTTCTAGGCCCGAGCTTTTCCAGTACCTCTATCAGCTATACACTGTGTGTGTGACTGACGTGGAGATACTAATGAGTTTGAACCAGAGACAGAATCTAAAGTTGAATTAAGACCACTGCTTACGGTAGCTATAGTCTGAACTACAGATTAGAGGAGCCTGGATGTAATGATTGATGAAGTGATTAACTATTCGAGTACGAGGCAGAAGAAAGAACTGCAGCTGAAATCAAGACTGGTGCCAATTGAAACAGCAGCCCCAAATACAGAGTAGATGCCTCTGTTGTGTTTGACTGGTTGGAGAGAGCTCAAATACCTGTAAACAAAATAGCACCAGAAAGTACCATGTGTATTGCTTCTTTATTCCAGGTGAATGAGAGACGATGTTGTACAGACATTAAATTGTGATTAAGCCCTCAAGGGTGAATTACTATATAGTTGAATGTACAACATATTTCCCCCTTTATGAATCAGACATTATTATTTTGCCAAAAGAATATCCAGAAATAAGTCTGTTCTTTAAAGTATCACTAATACAAAAGCATCCGTCTAAATTTTTCTTTTAAAACTTTAGCTTATGTGTGTTCAACACAAGTCCAATGTCGTTTTTTAAACTTGTGTTCATGTAACGTTCATCAACTTCAGATTTAAACAAATCTGAGAATAAACATTATTCTTTAGAGTTTCTGTTTTTATGCCTCCGTTACGAAGTAGCCGGAGGCATTATGTTTTCGGGTTGTCCGTCCGTATGTACGTACGTACGTCTGTACGTACGTACGTCCCGTTCTCGTGATCGCGTTATCTGAAGAACTGGTTGATGGATTCCTGCCAAACTTTGGTCATGTATGTATCTTGTAGAGCCGATGAACTGATTAGATTTTGGGGTTACGAGGTCAAAGGTCAAAGGTCACGGCTCATTATGTATGCAAAACGAGCTCGTGATCGCGTTATCTGAAGAACTGGTTGATGGATTCATGCCAAACTTTGGTCATGTATGTATCTTGTAGAGCCGATGAACTGAATAGATTTTGGGGTCACGAGGTCAAAGGTCAAAGGTCACAGGTCACAGGGCTCATTATGTATGCAAAACGAGCTCGTGATCGCGTTATCTGAAGAACCGATTGATGGATTGCTGCCAAACTTAGGTCATGTATGTTACTTGCAAAGCCGAAAAACTGATTAGATTTTGAGGTCACGAGGTCAAAGGTCAAAGGCCACAGGGCTCATTATGTATGCAAAACGAGTATGTGATCACGTTATCTGAAGAACCGATTGATGGATTGCTGCCAAACTTAGGTCATGTATGTTACTTGCAGAGCCGATGAACTGATTAGATGTAGGGGTCACAAGGTCAAAGGTCATGGGCTCATTATGTATGCAGAAATAGCTTGTAATCACAATATTTTGAGAACCTGTTAATGGATTACAATTGAACTTGAATTCGAAAAATTTCTTCTGTTTTGGTTTGTAAAATTGCTCTATGACGGAGGCATCATTTTCGACTGCGCGCAGTCGAAGTTCCATCTAGTTTTATATTTTAATATATGTTTTTTTTATATTTTAATATTTTACTGACAGGAAGAGCAGCTGAGATTAAGATTTACGTAGAAGGAACCAATAGTCACAACAGAGCTGGCTTGCTCTGGAGTTTCTTGATAAATTGTGATTTTGTTTTTATGACGAATAGGAACTTTGGTGCATGAGAAAAGGACTCGAACTGCAGAATATGACCAGCGCAGGTGGAAACTGTAGTCTTAACTATCATTTATAAAGCTGAAACATCTTGATGCTTTAATCCATATTTTGTGGAGTACCAAACTTAATTGGAGTGTACCTATCAAACAAAGAAACAGGAGCTTCCGTTTGCAAGCGGAAGCTCTACTTTGGATCTAGAATGCATTATTAGAACATTACGTTTCACCTTGATTTCTTAGTATTTTTTCAGTTTGATCAAATATCACGATGATGATTAACGATATATGTACATATTGAGATGTTAGATATAAGAGAATAAATTTTGAAGAAACATCCTGTGATCTTTTATCTGAAATATTGCTCATCTTTTTTCTTTCTTTTTGCAGACAGGATTTTTTTTCATTTTGTTCTGCTTATATGAAATCTTATTATATTTCATTTCATCCACATTGTTACAAAAACAATATATCAAATATTGTTATACATGTACCTACTAACTACAACTCAGTAATTTTCTATTGATGTTATTTCTGCAATTAAAGTTTGGTTTGTTAAGAGTTTGAATTATTAAGATACTTTTGATAATTTCTATTAAATGCATGTTAAATACAGATAAATATTTTCTGTGTCACATAACTTTGAAAGATTAATCGTCAATTTATAGACATAAAACAATACATGGTATACATTAGTGTTTTAAATTTTTTTTTTTTTTTTTTTTATGTATTCAGATATATTTGGATCTGTATCAATGTTGGTGCCTGATTTTTTTTCTTCTCAAGTTATCTCAGAAAGATGGATCCATTAAAAATCTCTCTCCATAAAGGCGCCTCCGTGGTGAGATATTTGTATGAAATGAATTAAGGAGGATGATACAAGATTTTAAGTTTTAACTGAGAGTTGATGTGGCTCTGATACTACCTGTTTTTGCATCTGATGGACTCATTAAGTAGACAATAAAAATGAGACTCCCTTATGGTGCTGTTTGCCATGGAATAAAGTGCAATCTTTGTCATCTATTTTGAATCTTTCCTTCTTGATAAGTTATTTTTGTAAGAATCATGTATTTAGCCAGTAAGAAATGCACGTGTGTGATTTTAAAAACTGTATATTTGATTTGGTTTTATTTAAAATTCATTCTTTTCAGTTTTTTTGTACTGTTGATAATTTGTATGCCCTTTTCCCCTTTAATTTCAACTATCGTTGTAAAATGTTAACCTTAATATCCCTTGCGGTACAAAGTACTGATATCCCCAAAATATTTTTTTTAATAAACTATGTCTTGCAAATATTTAAAAAAAAGAAGAAAAAAATAACCTCCTTATAAACTAAAAAGGAATGGACATGCGAAGAAGCTATGTAGTTTATGTGTGTATATTTTACTGGACTCAAAAGAGAGAGAGAAAAGTATATGATTTTATGAACAAGGTAATCGTGCTTGTTGCTGTGACAAAGAAACGTAGCAAAAATGCTGTTTGATTATGTGTTCTCCTTTTAGATCGAGTGCATTATATACATCATAAGAATGTAAATATTCAGTTGGGCCTCATAGTTTACATACACCTGGTGGAAAAGTAATATACCTTATCTGAAGCTCACTCATTCCTTCTGCCTACTTTTCTCTTCAGGAAGATGGACAAGTCTGGTATCTATTCAATGGATAAAGTATATACATCATTGAGAGTCACATTGAGACATTTAGATATGTGACTCCAGATAGGAATGAGAGCAGTTGTGAAATTGTGAGTAAATTATTTTTCTTCCAGGTGTATGTATACTTTCAAGCCCAACTGTATACCGATAATTGCATTGATATTAAGGTAGAGAAAAATGATGTGAATTGTATATAATATTGTAATTGCTAAGTTTTTAATTTATTTTGTAATAAATCATGACAGATCATGGAACTGATAATGGTTTGATTTAAATGTGTCCATATGTTGTCAAACTGGTTAAACTTTTGAAAATTATTAATTTTACATTTGATAAACTTGTGCCTTTCTAGGCATACACTAGTCCAGAATCTGGACAGTGTTATATTATTTCACTATTGTGATCTCTCCCATCCCCTACCTGCTGCAAGTAGTGCTGGGCGTAGAAATTTGGGGTGGTGGGAATTATAAAGAATTAAATCGACCAGATTCTGGACTCACGTGTACAATACACATTTCTTCAGTTTATAGTACTCTATTTCGCACACATATAGAATACCTATCATGAACAGAACCCATGACAAATGAAATATATGTTTGTTTATCATTTATTATCAAAATATCAATCAACGATCTATATACTATTATAACATGAAGGCAATGTCATCATAAAAATCAATATACACATATTCACTAAAATTGATGCTTAATTGTCTTTGGCTATTTCTCTTAAAAGAAAATTACATTTTCTTAAATTCTCTTTATAGTAATATAGGCAAGCATCATGAAGAGAGAATCAAATCAAATACTGATCATTTTTATAATTAGGAGTCTGGACTTTGAAAAGCCATTTTAGTGTATAAAAAGAGTAGGAGACTAGGAGCAATGATGAACTCCTAGAACTGATAAATATGATAAGTGACAAATTGTTTTGCACTTTATCTTTGCATGCGATTAAATCTGTTGCAGATCTTTAGAGTATAAATAAGACTTATCAATTGCGGACTCTAAGTCGTTAACCTAAGCCTATTTCCTTGACTTTGAATACTAATACCAAAAATGTGACAAATCAACACACTAAAAAAAAAATCTCCTTAAAACTTCTTTTGGGGAGTGTAGCAACAACAAAAACTTGCTAGAAATTACTTTTTTAAAGCAAATTCACCTGTTTGCTTTGAATAATTTGTCTATTATTTTATGAATTAAAACACCCTGACATGATATTTCATCATACCTGTATATCATCCAAACCATCACATGACTATCATTATGATTACATCACTATTGATGAACACTGGAAACTGCTCACGTTCAAAGGAGGCCCAATTCTGTGTACATGGATCTGAAATTGGTATTGAAGAAATATACACCCTAAAAAATTGACCAATGCCATGCTTCATGTAAAAGTATGCAGATGGCCATAGTAATTCTGATGTAATTAGTTCAGATATCGGAGGGCAAACAAAGTCATTTCAAGCTCTCTCATGGTTTTGTGCCCAAACACGTATTAATGAATGTATATTTTAATATGCAAAGGCTTGGACATGGACTTACATGCACATGTCTTGCAAAACAAATTTTGACAAGGAAATTCATCGTCATTTACTCTCTTTTACCCTGCAATTGATGTATGAAATGCAAATGAGTAATATGAAAAATGGAAAACAACAGTATTGTTTGTACAACTACATGTAATAAAATTGAATTGCATTTTTTTTCTAGTCATAAAAGGATACACTAAACAATCTCATACGTTGTGCTGACTTCTGATATATGCTGCCAGCTCATGGGATTTTGCCTGCAGGGAATTATTGTGAAAATGTCAACTGACTTGTAAAAGAGCAACAATTTTATAAAAATGATAACAGAAAACTTTCCTAAAAGAATGGTGGGTAAGTATTCATTATCAGCAAATCTACAGTCAGTTTTCTTTTCAAATTTGAATTTTGCAACTGGCAGTGTTTTATTCACACTATTCGTTGTGTGGGCTTAACTTTTCACCAAAACCGCAGTCTATCGAATAACAGATCTAAATTTTGTTTGCATACTTTCATAAACTCAACTTGCTGCTACAGATATATATTGAGTTAAGTTTTGAGGGCTTGCAAATCCCTGATAGGGGCTTTAAAAGCCATTCAATGTTCTATAAATAATCACATATTGCAAGCCAACGCATCTTATTGCTTCATCCAATCCTACATACTTAGTTGTTTACAATGCACATATACATGTAGTAAGGATTTCTAAATAAGAAGGTTTCCATGCAACAGCATCCTTTGGTTCTTCTCACTCCTGTTGGACATTGCACATTCATCAATATAAATCATAATACCATTAAAGAGGACTACCGTACATATATCATCAACTACCATCAAAAGGGCTTAAAATGTATTTTTATCCCAATTAAAGCATGAAATTTAATTTGGTTCCTATTTTAAAGAAAATGTTGTTGCAGGCATCTCCACATTATAGGCTTCCAAATCACCATGGTAGCAATCACCGATCTCATGAGGTCATCAAAGCAATTTGTCCACAAACTGAATAAGAATGTCACTATTGCATTAGCTTCATTCACCTCCTATCACAAAGGCAATTTAGTTCACACACATTGAGAATACTTCTGTAAATCCCATGAAACATCATTTAAGCATCTTTTCTGCAAACTCCAAGGTAAGGTTGGTCATTGCATCATAAAACTGTCGTCCGCTGTCCATCATATCCATGACGAGCTCTGCGTGGCCACCTTCTCCTATCAGACGCACCGTCACAACTGCTTCTTTCTCAATGAGTGCTGAGGAAAACTTCTCAGTTGACAACGGAGGGACTACTATATCATCTGTGCCATGAATGAGGTAAATGGGAGGTAGTCTGCAGGGGAGAAAGCATTTGAGAGAACATATTTTCATAAGAATGTTACAAAAACTCAAAAGACATCCATTTCAATACACTGTTCTCTTTTTGGTAATTCACAATTTATTCTTACTATGAGATTTATTTCAATCTGAACCGATTCTTGCCGATACATCAGGGTTCCTAGCATTTCACGGAAACAAAATTTTCAGATTTTTTTTTCCCTGATGGAGTTTCAAATTCCAGGATCATTACGCAAACCTAATTCTGGTTTGAAGTGTCTTCAATGAATTGGAACTCCATCCCCAAAGATGTTTCTGATTGCAAGTCAGTTAATTCCTTCCAAAAAAAATTGGAGCAGTTTCTTATATCAAATATGTATAGTTACTAATCTTATGTTTATATTTGTGTTATATATTTTGTGTTTTTTGTTTCTTTTTTTATTGAATGTTTTGTTGTTTTATCTTTTTTCTTTTTTTATCTTTGCTTTACATTATGCTATGAATGCTTTGGGAAATATGCGTGTACAAGGCCTAAGGGCTTTATTTATGTAGTTCCCCATTTCATTTCTAAATTTGTTGATGAATAATTTTGTATCTTTTGTATCAATGTAATTTTTTATCGAGAATGAAATAAATGTGAATTCAATTCAATTCAATTCAATTCAATTCAATGAATAGTAGTTGGATACATCCAGTGGATACATTGTTTGGACACAAGACAAAATATATGAGACTAAGTTCTTTCTGTTGGGGCCAATGATACTCCCTAATTGTTCTCATATTCTCCAGGTTTTTCTGACCTCCAGGATAGTTGAGAACCCTGTAATGATTCTCAATAATAAGACAACTATCAAATATCAAAGTCTTTACATCTATTATATTCTGAGAGGAAAACAACCGACCTACCTTCCTATCTGTTCAGCAGACATCTTTAAAACCCTTTCTGTCGGTGAGAAGTGATCAAAGCTCTGTAGACCATTCATGGCTCTCCACATGGGTGAGAGGTCTTCCACCCCTCTCCATGATTCATGGTGGTAATGATCCATGATGTGGTATACCCCGCCCAGTCCTACCACCCCTCTGATCGATGAGAGCAGCTCACTGGCTGAAAACCAAGAACTGTCGTACACTGTTGAAAGATCATCGTCTGTCCTCCCTAAGGAAAATGATGTTATAAACTACTTACAAAACAAATAAAATTATGCCCAAATGTAAACAGCGTGGACCAATTATAACAAAGCCATACCAAGCTAATTGTCAATAATAATAATAATAATAATATGTCTTGTTTACCCAGGGTAGCCTCATCAGTATTCATACTGTTCTCCCTGAGGGCCCTGCAATCATATTATTACCCCGGTCATCGGATTCAGGCTTACCCGCACACAATGTATGCACATTCACCACTCCTGGGGAGCATTCCAGCCAGTGCCACATTTTTACAAGCACACACAATATTCCGTTTTACTAACATATTCAAATTTATGGATGTTTCTTTCCTGGGGATCTAGTGACGAATTGTTCCATTAACCTGTTATCAATGAATAAACAATAATACCCACAATCCAGTCTGCATATATTACGTGTTGCTATGTCGGACAAGCCTCTCCAAGCTTTCAGGTTGTCAATAACAATCTTTGTTTAAAATTATGCATCATATTGAATACATTAGTAAAGTGGTCAATTCCATGACTGATCGTCAGCAGTGTAAGTTGACAGCTAGGCCTAGTGATGTTACACAATAAGTGCCCTGGATATGGTGCTTGATGATTGAAGCTGTAAGAGCAGGGCACTGCATGTTCCATAAAACTTGTTATCAACAAGTTACAATAACTGTTATAAGCTGATAAAATTGTGGCATTTAATTGGGTGAGAGCAAAATTGTAATAGAAATTTAGGATAACAAGTTTTTATGAAACAGGGCCCATATTACGTTCAGACCCAGGGCTATCTAGTTTCAAGACAACTGCTTTATCTATTGAGCCATCACACATAATTCCCAAATTAGTATGATACTGGGTAATTTTGATACCCTAGAAATTCTAGGAAGTCAGAAAATCAGAAAATATATTTCATTTAAACTGATGGTAATTTCAATGATTTGGAAATATATTGAATTTCTAAACATCAAACCTTTATTATTATTTTTTTCACATGCATTCTCCAAATGTAGCACCACCTCATCATTGTCCTGTCTCAAATATTGCGCTTGCCCTTTTCAATTATTATCTGGATGTAGCACGACATCTCACTGCCTTGTCTCAAGTTTGTCTATAAGTCTATTTGCCTCACCTTCATCTGTTGTATCATCCCTTAACTGCTCTGATGCACGTTTCTCTGGAAGCCCCTCAGCCAGCTCTATCATTGATAGGGCACAAAGATGAGCACCTGCAGAATGTCCAAAGAGGATGATCTTACTCTGATCAGCATCGGGAGCTCTGCGATGGAAGTCAGGTGACTTGATGAAGGCGATCGTGTCGTGGAGGTCACGGACCATCTTCTGCACTTCACCCTGAGGTACACACAGATGCAGAGAAATGCAGTCACGCAAATTGCATGCAAAATTTCATGGGTTTAATTAGTTACAAAGTTTGTAAGCTCATCAACAGAGATGCCAACCCTCATCAACAAAAAAAAAGTATTCTTAAGAGCAAAAAACAGTATTTAAAAAAAAATCTCTCACCTTAACATATCGCCCAATCGAGCAGCATAAAAAAACGGCAGTACCACGTATATGTACCCGGATCGGAGCGCGACGTGCATACAGTACACAAGGGTTGTTCGCAATGTGCGCAGTTTGAGGCCCTGTATCACTGTCCTGCATGCATTGTTTGAAGACATAGGTGCATAATACACTTACGACACAAAGCCCATAATCGGAAATTAAGAAAAACATCAATAAATAAAATTATAAATTATAAAAATTAAAAAAAATAAAAAAACCGTAACAAAACATACAAAAAACGTACTGCCGTATTCATAGCAAAAAAACAGAACAATTACGGCAAAAACGGAACAGTTGGCATCTCTGCATCAGGGATCTTAATTGAGAAATCATAATTCAAATATTGGGAATTCTATTAAGCCCAAGCCCACATTACAAAGTACCATCTAGGCATAAAGGAGCTACATGTACCTGATCAAAAGGCCTGTCTACTCAGTTTGCTGGTTTTAAATAGTGCACTAATATGTTGAACATCAGAAGCTTAGAACAAAGATATGATAATGTGACTGTATGATTGTATGATGCATGCTCATCCAGTATTTCTCCACGATCACTTGGTATCCTTCATCATATTCTGACTTATCACTGGCCTAAAAGTTATACTAACCCAAAATCTAACTCCACACACAAGCACCTAACTCTTTGATGAAATAAAATGTTGGGCATGCGTTGCCCGAGCAAATTTTGAATCATCAACATACCTTTGGATAAATACTGTAGTTTGGAATCACCACAACAGCCCCTAGACGATCCATGATTTGCTGAGCCAGGAGTCCATACATGTTCTTGTCTCCTGACCCCCAAGCTCCTCCGTAGACAAAGACCACAACTGGTCGTGGGTCTTCAGGCTCTCTGAGATTACTGCTCGAATATGGTGTCCATAGGTCAAGAGTGTTGTCGTTCACCCCATACATTATATCCTGTATGAGGTAAATAGGTTGGTCCCATTCAATTTATGAAAATACATCCTGAAAATTAGCCCAAACTAAACTGAAATGACCATATAGTGATCACAGGTTGGGGTGCAGGAGGACCAAACTAAGTTAAAGCCATTTACTAACTACCCACATGGGAAGCATTCTTGTCTGCTTGGAGCCAGAAGAACTCTGCGTTAAAGTATATGAGTTAATGCCCGTCTGTTATGAACCTCCCTCCATACTTTGTCTTATGACCAATAGAGGTATATTTGTAAAAGCATTACATTGTAAAATTTCCCAAGTGAGGACTCTAAATTTATGTTAATGAAGTACCGGTACTACGCAATCACAATCATCCATTGAGAAGCATGCAAAGGGCGGCCATCTAACAACCCTCAACATGTATACTGTAAGAGTTAAAATTGGACTCCTTCCACACTTGTATTTGTTACAATTACTATTTGTTTCTCTAGTCTCTTCTCCCTATACATATTAATTTCACATCATTTGCTAATTCACTTACATCTTCAATTACTCAACCAAATTCCTTCCTCCATTCATCTTCTCTACATACCAAGTCTCCCATCTCACTTGGTATGTTCCTTGTTCTCTTCTCATTCTTATTTGTGGTCTTGTGTGAAATGCAATAGGCCTTTCTACTTCTTACTTTTCATTGGTTCTCTTTTCCTTTTTCTTTTGAATATTTAGTCTTACTTTTAAACACTATTTGCTATTGGTTTATGATGTATAATATACTTTGCTTCAAAATGCTCAGTATGATGCTGCATAACAACCTACAATAAAACAGACAGACCTGCCCTAGACGTCTTTTGAGTTAGTTGCATTGACTTAGGGCTCTGTTACTTTTAGTTGGAGATTAAGAGGTTATATCCAAGTTTGGCAGTGATTTTTGGATGATTGGTGTTTCAAATTAATATTGGTGAGATCTTAATTTGTATTACTTTACAATACCTTGATAACTTTGTCTCCAGCTCTATACAGGGAGTTCCACTTGATATACAGAGGGAGGAACCTCAAAAGATTGAATTGATCTGCTACTGCATAGGAGACTTTTAGCACTCTGGACGGTTGCAGTGCTCTTTTGTACTTGCCCTCCCCTTCTTGACTACAAGGCCATCCACACACCATATTTGCCACAATGACGATGCCGTACGGTATGCCAACTGCCAGAAAGACTCCCTTTGCGACCTTGCTACTCAGTACTTTCATTCTGTCCATTCTGTCAAAAGAGAAAAAAAGAGAAGGTGTGGTTATGACAAAATGGAGTCAATTTACATGATTAAAGGGCATCCTCATGAATATTATAATTTGGATTTTAAATCACATAGAATTGGACATGGCACAGGCTCTAAATAATAAAAGTATAGATTTCATATTAACCTGTAAACGCTTGGTCCGGTCTGTAAGGGTTAAGATTTACTTCCACATGTAGAATAAAAAGTACCAGTACTCTACTGCACTACATGGCACCCCGGCCCCCACTCAGTGTTATTTAGGGTACGCATATGCTCGTTCCCTCTTTTTGAAAGCACCTCCTATCTGAGGAATGCCAACATTTCCGAACCCCTTTCGCGGGCTTTCTGCGGGCTTTTCCTGCCTTGGAGACCCCCTAAATCAGGAAAAATGCTCAATGTACCCCCTTAAATTCGGAATAATTTCTCAGGAGTCCAAAGAGATGAGAGAAAAAAAGAAAAAACACCCCCTTTTTAAAGAAATCTCCGGGTGAAAAGTTAATACACCCCTTTTTTTACAATTCTTGGGCCGGACTTTGTCGCACGAAAAGTACCCCTTTACCGGACATTTTGGTAACAAGCATGGGGTCATTCCGACCCCGGAGTGGGGGGCCGGGCATGGCACTCCTTGTATTGCAGCTACTTGCCTCACCCACCATTCCATTCCAGTATCGCTTCCTGAGTGAAGGGGATTACTCAATCAAGTATCAAGTACCAGGGCACAGACAGAGATACCACACTGCTATACTCTCTGAAATGTTAGGCTCTCAAAAGTCAATTGCTCAAGGCAAGCACTCTACGACTGGACTATAAGGATCCAGCTAGCTGACTTATTCTGAGACCTGTCAATGTAGTAAGTACTGTTGCAGTGGCAAGGCGGGAGGGGGATAGGGGGGGGGGCACATGCCCAAATCAAATGGCAAAAAAAAGTAAAATTATGAAAATAAAGGGAAAGAGGAATAGATCTAGACTAGAAATGCAAAATATAAGAAAAGAAATGGATAAAGCTTTCCCTATCATCTATCTAGGCCTAGGTAACGTTGTGTGCTTGTTGCTTCGCATTTCATTCATCAACTCAGACCGGTAAACCCCCCCCCCCCCCCACACACACACTGCAAAACACATCATGCCCGTCCCGAACGCTGTTTTTTTAAACCTAACCTTGCCATCCTATCGCTGCATTTGATTGGCTCAATAGCATAGGAACCATACGTCATGCGCTAGTCATAAATATTCATGATACGCACGCACACAGAATCTGATTTGATAATTAATCAAATAGGCCTAATGAGATTTCATATAAAACTTACAAGTGCAAAGCTATGTTTACTTAAAATGAATGACATTGTGAGAAAATCGGGTGGCTTATCATTGGCCATATCATGATTATTATTAACGAATGACTACCCAGGTCATTAATTATCCATCATTGCGACCAGAAAGAGAATCTGGACGATTTAATTTTGATCACATCTTACAAACGCAAATATTCATATAGGGGTCTAGGTCTATTCGGATCCAGGCTAACTCGGCCCAGCTGCAAAAACGGTCATTTTTTGTCATTTTACTCTAACTCTAAGTACCCTAACTCTAACCCTAACCCTAACCCTAACCCTAAAACCTAAACATGCAAAAACTGACCGTTTTTGTACCTGGGCCGAGTTAGCCAGACTCCGTCTATTCAAATATTAATTAATATGCAGCACAGGATTGGCTAGGCTAGGTTTAAAACGCGACCCTAACCAGTGCAGGAGAGCTAGAGCTAGAGCTAAGAATCCTGAGATGCGATCCAACAAGTACTGCATCAATATGCCGGAAAGCAAGCAACACGGTACGGGACGCGTTATTTTTTTATGCGGCACAGATTGGGGCATGGTGCGTGTTGAGCCTATGGGAAGTACGTTCTTTCCCTTCTGAATAATGTCTGCACGTACGTGAGACTAGGCATGTTCGCTAGCGCATTAGCGCTGCGAAGAAGTTTGAATATCCATCGCGAACTATGTGTTTAGATAACATTCCTCTTCGTTTAAGTTTATTAAGTTTTATTGACTAATTATTGTGATGTTCTTCTTATTGACGTGCTGCCTCCTCTTCAGATTTCCAATTGCATTTTAATTGTTGATGTAATGATTTTTCATACGGTAGTTGATTACATGTAACACTATTAAAAACAGACCTCTACTACTAGTACGCACACGACCACTATTAGTCTGTAAATCAAGACCCCTTTAAAAAAAAGCCCCAATCTGTGCCGCATAAAAAAATAACGCGTACGGGACGGGGCCCGGGGACTCACGCCTACCTCGACCTCAGGCTCAGCCTCGCCTAGCCCGCGGTACAAATACAATGCTGCTCCACTCACTCAGCTCAGCTCCGCCAAATTCATCACTTTTGTCTCGACTCTCGATCTCGAGTCTCTGGCCCGGTTTTCATCTGAGCGCAATACATTTAAAAGTGACATTATATTTATTTGAACCACTTACCCTCTTTCCTTTACGCTGATACAGTAATTGGGCTCTACTGATGTGTACAGACAAGAAATAATGTCTAGCTGTGTTCGTGTTTACAATTCTGCCTTACATTATCCAAAATTCTGAATTTAGCCTACATTCAGTCGTTAATGTAGATCACAATTAATTGTGGGGGCGATATGGGGCTCAAGGGATTCTTCCACTTTTGTACATGTGTCTCAGGCGCGGATCCAGGATTTCTTAGGGGAGGGAGCCCAACTTTTTTTTTTTTGCTCCCGAAAATTTGAAAATCGCGCCGGCCGAAAAGTCGTTCAGTGGGGGGGGGGGGGGGGGGGGGGGGCGGGTACAGAGCACAATTTTTTTTTTTTTTGCTCCCGAAAATTTGAAAAACGCGCCGGCCAAAAATTCGCTCAGTGGGGGGGGGGGGGGGGGGGGGTAGTGAGCACATTTTTTTTTTTTTGATCCTCAAAAAAATTTCAATTTGCACCCCCCCTTGAGCGTCAGGGGGGGGGGGGCCAACCCCCCAAAAAGGTAAAAATCACGTGATTTTGCATGATTTTTTTCTCAAGGGGGGGGGGGGCCCGGGCCCCCCCCCCCCCCCTGGATCCGCCACTGATGTGTCTCGTGATTTTTTTTCCTTCCGGGTTCATAAAGAAGTAGCCACAACCAGGAAAACACTAGAAGTGCCACTGGTGAGCAATTTTGCCGTTACACCCCATGCAAGAAAGTGTGGGAAATGTGAAAAACAGAACAAAAGATATGATATTCACACCGGTGCCTGAAGATCATGAGATACATGGATTTTTCCCGTTTAGATAGGCGACTTGACTCTAGACTAGCTAGCTACACTACACTACTAGCAAGTCACTGCGTGCACTCCATGAAAATCTGTGTGTTCGCCACTATAATTTAGCAGAGCTGGAGATGTGTTGCTAGTTGGACTCCAATCAGTGCAGAAGTTACCAGTTAAATCATTCGAACAGTCATTAAGAGGCAATCAAACCACAGGTATTTAATCTGAAATTTCTAGTTAACATACTGATCTGCTGATATAGCTAAAAACATCTATGACTATGCATCGTGTAGAGTTCTAGATCGCTGTGAGAAATGCGACCTTGTTTGGAGTCGCTAGTGATGATGATGATGATGATTATGATGATGATGATGCTGACAGCCTGACACTGATGATGATGATGCTGATAATATTAATAATGATGTAGATTGTGATGATGATGATTATTATTTGTTAAGTGTTTTATTATTATTATTATTATGATTATTGATATTAGTAATATTATCGTTTAATTATTAGTATTTTAATATTCATTATTGTTAGATCTAGTCTAGATCTACTACTAGTCTAGATTAGTTCTAACAGTTAGAGTCTATCATCATATCAGGGAGGCCAATACTAATCTCTATAAAAAGTTCTTTGACTTAAGTTGGATCCCATATTTTTAGGGTCTACCTTCTGCTCTAGGTTTTTCATAGTCGGTCCTGTATGTGCGTCATGTTCTTCTGCTACCTCAATTATTGGATTCGAATATGTCAACATCAGGGCTGCCAACCTTTGGAGAGAGTTTGGAGTAAGACATTGCGAGGGCGCGAAGCGCCTGAGGGCGCGAAGCACTCGAGGGGGGATTGTGTGGAAGGGGGGTGTCCCCCCTTCCTTGGTAGGGAGCTTTTACAATTTTTTCAATTGAAATGGTGCAATCTGGTGCATACTTTAACCCTGATTCCACAATACATAAGGCAGGATTCTTGATACTTGATGAGGTAATCCCTGAAGCAGCTTTTCCAAGCTATACTGGGATGGGATGTGTTGTGACAGCAGGTGAAGGTGCAGACAACAAAAGGGTGTACAATTGCTTTATACAGTAAAATAGTGACGTGCAAGTAAAAATAATCATGCTGCTATATGGTTTACAGCATTCTGGAACCTACAGGAGGTTCCAAATAGGTTAATTGATTTCATGAAGTATACTGACCTTGAAAAAATACAAACTTCCACATTTGTAAGTGCATTATTCCAAATCAACTGTCTTTATAAGCTTAGCAGTTGAACCTTAACCTATGATTATCTGTAACAATCACACTCTCAACACACTCTTTTTGGAAAAAAATTAAATCAAAATTTTGTTCTCAATAGAATACACAGAACATAGTTAATATAACTGCCATATCAATGCAAGCACCCTTCCAAAATCATTCTTACTGTCGTATAAACGATCGAAACCATAAATTTCAATATTTCAAGACAAGAGTTTAAACTCACCTGTACCGGCTGAAGCCTGAAATACTGTACCATATGGCCGATCTGGTCGTAGAGGGCTAAAGAGGACGGCCCAAGCCCATTATCCGATTGCAAACACTGAGCCACCCGGGCCGGGCCGGGCTGGGCGCCGGGCGAGATGTACAGCGATGACAGGCCATGGCATCGACACTTGCTTGTCGTGTCTTGCACAAAAACCCCGCTTCATAGTAAAGTGACGACGTCACTCGCACACGCAGGATAAGCCAATCGCAATTCACTATCTTGTCTTTGCGCGGCAAACCGAAACCAATTTGCATTGATGGTTTAGCTTTGTGCATGTGTGGTTAAAAAAATGTTGAAACTTTCGGCAGGGATATTGAATATCCGATATAATAGACATTTTTTTTTTTTAGTTTCTATTTTCGGGGTTCAGCGTGAGAGCGTGAGAATTGGGTGAATTGGGTGAGACTCACGCAGATTGCGTGAGAGTTGGCAGCCCTGCAACATCTGCAAGACCGTCAACAAATGGCGAAAGACAGTTACAGATCCGTGACTATAGGTATGTTGTGGAGTGTAGGCCTATAATTGTATTTTTGTTATATATTTTATTCAATAGATATTTTAATTTTGTATTTTTCTTTCTGGCAATTTTCTGAATTGGACGACGATCGCACAAATCGTAGGAGTAGAAACCTAATGCCCTGCTATTGGCCTTCCTATCATCATCGATATCATTAAGAGAAGAACTTGAATTAGTGGATATATTATTTTTACCAGGGTTCCCACATTCATAGAATAACCTGGAAAGTCATGGAAAATGAGAAATGACACCCAAAATCTTGGAAATTGAAGATGCAGATGGAGGCTATCAGGCATCACAAACATCAAGTATCATTAGACTAGGCCTACGTGGTTTTTCGTACACAGCTTCTAATTTTATGCTGCAACAGTGCAACCCTTACTGAAAAGTCTGAAATGGTACTTATGGGAAAAGAAAACTGGGTCATGGAGAGTCATGGAAACATGTGGTATTCGATTCTCAAGTTTCTTTTGGAACCCTGTTTAAATACTTAAAGTAGCCACACGAAGAATCAAAAGTGTTTTGAATTGATGCAAAACTCATATCATTGCGAAGGGGAAGCCTTGCTGATCAAATACAACAACCCTTTTTTTCAAAATATGTTTGGGGCCCGCAGTAATCAACTCTCAAAATGTTTGTTTTGAGATCCAGATTTTCTGCCTTAATCAGCGGTCCTTTATAGAGCGTCAATATTTGTGACGTCACATACGGGACATGGCTAGCTAGCTGCAGACTGCTACACGGCACTGAGCTGTTTGTCCAGTGTGTGACGTCACTATTCAGAGCTCGCTACGCTCGTGTGTTTGGCTTACGTTCAGGGGCGTTTGGGGGTCTAAGAATGGTCTTGAAAAATTGAAGTTTACGCCTTTCCATGATATCTATATGATTTCCCAGCAAATTATTCATGTTTTTCAAGAGAAAATCTTTCCATCCATATGTAATTTGTTCTAATTATCAGTTGTTAGTGAATTTCTTTGTGTAGCTCCTTTAATTTTAATAGTCTTTAAATTAAGAAATTGTAGACTAAAAATATAGACCAAACAAAAGTTTAATCTCACTTTCTAATGCAAACCTGTAGATCTCCCTTTAGATGTAATGTAGATCTATTCTGAAATTGAATTGTTTTCCAGTGAATTCCCTGTCTCTGAAGCTGTCATATCTTAAACTCTACAACAATTACACTGGCTCCCAAACAAAAATCAAATCACTTTCAGAATCCTGCTGATAACATACATATCACTCAACGGAAGCTCCCCGGCCTACATCAATGAAATGATCTCACAGTATCGTCCTTGTTGCACTCTCCACTCTTCAGACTAGCCCTGTCTACTCGCACATAAAGTCTCTTCGCTGTATTATGGCCATAAAGCTTTTGCAATGGCCTGCCCAACACTCTGGAATTCTCTTGCTCCACACATCTGCATGGGGAAGCAGAAAAGAAAATTTATTTTATTTGACTTAATGTATGTCTTAGAAATCTCAAGTTTGTGCCATATTGATCTCTTATCGTCTTATGCAATACATCCATACATTTTTTATTATTGGTCTGATTTATTTAAAACTTTCGCAAATATCTGATTCTCTGATTCTTCTGCTTTGATTCGAACGAATTTGCCCTCTAATGTGTGCTTGTAGTCAGGACTACATCGGTGGTTTTCTTATAAATTCCCTAAGCCCACCACCAATGTCAGTGGCCTGCTTTATACTAGGCATACAATGTTCATTAAATCTCATTTCCACAGCCCTGCTAGTTGAGAGCATATGGTCACCACATATATGTGGTGTAGATATCAAATGTCAGATCTACTTTTTGATAAATTCACAAAGTCTATTGAACTCTATTCATGAAAGTCACCGTTCAGTTTTTGACTAGTTTACATGTGAGTAGCCATACATAAACTGGTACGGTACTTAAAGGTTAAGACCAGTATTGGAAACGCCCCAATTTCAAAAAATGAAATGGAAGCTCTTATTACCAATCATGTGAAAGAATATGTTTTGACTAATATGTGATGATACAAATTTTGCCGGGAAACCGCCTACTAATAAAATTTGGTAAATTAGTTTATCTATTCGTTTGTGAGAGATAAACGCACGTGTGCGTAGTCCCATATACATCTTTCAGTGTACAGTGCTTGTAACTTTACAAATACTTGGCCAAATTTCTTATCATTTTGATGATTCCAGAACCTTGCAGTACACACCAATACTTACATGCTAGATGATCAACCTTTTCTGATCGATTCCATAATGTTTCTTTCACAATGCAATCGCATGACCATAACTGGTCTTTATCTTTAAAGGGAAACAGAAAAAATGGCCACTGAAGATAGTTGGCCTTTCGAAACAGGTTCTACAACACACATTTTTTTACTGAGGGAGACTAAAAATTCATGTATGAAAAAAAAAAAAAAAATTACAAGTTTTCCTATGTTAGTATTTTTATGTTTTGATACTACCGTGTGAGTCAAAAAAAAGTTTACACCTAGAAAATTGCTAATTATTTAAAAAATCATCTATGAACAGTAAATTATTATACATCTTATAAAAGAGTGTTTTATCCCAAAATCATTTGTTATCATTTTTGTGTAGTATGTGTTCACGCTTGGATGAACAGGAGGCATTGTTTGCGAGAGTGCAATTTTGCAATTTACAATACACAATAAATCAATATAAAAATGACCTTGATGCACCCACACATGTACATTGTACATGTGCTCTTAAAATAGGGCTCACACAGAAATTTGGTTCTTTGCACACATTCAAAAATATTATTCTTTGTTTTCTTCATACTCCTTATCCGTTAGCCTATATGAAAAGCTGGGTAACTCTTTTTAAGGCTGATTGTGTGACTGGTGTTACATATACATTTTAGATGTATGCAATTTCCAGTTATTATATATTTTAGGTGATTGATACCCTTTAAGCCATTATCCATTGTCGATATTGATTGGTAACTCATGTGATGTTTAATTGAATCAACACTAATTAACTGGTAGTGTTAGAGGTCACTTTGATGATGATCAGTCAATCAGTTTGAGGGGAAAGAGGAAATCACATGACATGGGGATTGACGGTCTATTGTTCTATAAATTATATATTCGAAGAAAAAGTTACTGGTATATACGTACATGTATATAAATTGACATGTAAGCACCTAAGTTTCAATGATTTGTTTTCAGAAAACTTTAAAACCTGCACTTCCCTTCTTCCACTCTCTCTCTCTCTCTCTCTCTCTCTCTCTCTCTCTGTCTCTCTGTCTCTCTCTCTCTCTCTCTCTATCTCTGTCTCTCTATCTCTCTCACAGACACACACACACACACTTCGTTACTTGGAAAGTCTATATAAACTTTGACGATCATATTGACCTACCTACATGTAGCTTGTACAGTCGTGTATTTCTGTATTTCTTGCTTTTTCCCAATAGTAGACCTTTCATTTTACCATGCACTTTGTACTTTTAGACTTTGACATCTTCAGTCAAGATCAATCAGACTATCTACATTTTTTTCTTTTTCATTTGGATTTTTCATCCAAAGATTTGTTCCATTGATGGTCACTTACATTTAGTAGAAAAGAGAGAAGAATGGTTTCTATTATAAATGTAATGCTTCCTGGGAGAAATTTCAATAGTTTAAATATATTTGTGGCTTACACCCAGTAAATAAGATCGATTGATCGATTTGTAATTGAAAAACAAGTCAGAAAAAAATCTTAGTTTCTATGTTTGTTAAAAATTCTCATAAATTTGACCAACAGCTAAAAATGTGAGATTTAGAATATTTTGATCGCCATCCATTCTTTTGGAAATGCATCAAATTCAAAGGTTGGTGGAAAATCTGTGCCAATCAATGATAGTCTAGATGCTTTGATATTATTTGCATAAAAGCTTGCCTAATTTTATCATCTCAAGTAGGGCGCTTGACTAGACATTTTGTTTGCTCTTTGAATCAACGGTTATCTTCCAATGTACCTTGTTCTCATCATAGGCATTAATCAAGCACTTATCAACATTTGATCAGGGTCCTATTTAACCCTTTTGAGCCCTCATACTTAGAGTTTATAGTACAATGATAGTAATTACCTCTCTTTAAAAACACATTATTTTTTTTGATTTATTTTTTTTTTTTGAGTTTTTTGGCAAGAATTCAAGTGTAGTTTCAAACAGTATTCTATCGTTCTTTCCCATGCGAGTAACAGCATAAATATTGTATTGGCACATTGTATCATGCTCATGGTTTATTCATAAAGGTTGTACCATTGTTTCATAAGGTAAAAAATGTACTTTTTATATCCATGTTTGGAAGGGGGTCCAGATTCAACTTTTTATAGTCTTTATGCAAGGGTCCTACAGTACTAAAAATATTTAAAAAGAAGGACATTTTGGAAGCCCCTTTATTTACATCTAAATGTAGGCACCTGTTATTCTGTTATTGTCGAGCCCTGGTATATCAATTGCAACTTAATTTAAACAAATTTAAAAATGAAATTCTAGCAACCCCAAAGATAGTACACGCAAATAAAGAGCCTCTATCACAAACTTGAATATTTAGTACTTACCAATTACAGATTACTGTATGTCTCACAATTATCCTACAAACTACATTGTACAAATTATGTATACTTACATGTATGGTTAGACACACTGTTACTAAGATATAAGGATTTGTTTTCAAAATTTGTTTACATTTACATTTGAATCTTTATTTGTATTCTTCCTGGTATATCATGTTTACTATTCACCATGTAATGATGTTTTCATGTATATGTATGTCTTTATATGCATTTTATGTAATGCAGGGCCCCCAAGTATAACAGTATTTTAACTACTGATGGGGCTACCTTGTTGAAATCAAACAAAATAAAACAAATAAATAAATTGACTTTTAAAAATGTTTGTGGTTTTGATATCATAATTTGTAGTTGTGGTTAGTTTACCTGACTGCTAAGAAAGCATATGCTTGTTAGTAAGCAACCAGAGGACTGACAGCTTTAGGTCCTCTCCGAGGGACCTGGTAATGAGGATTAATGCCTTACCAAAGGGCACTAGGGCATCGCCTTAGTTTCGACCCCAGGTTGTCTGATTACGAGACCACTGCTCTACCGACTGAGCTATCGCGCCTCCTCGAATGAATATCAGCAGTAATTTACTTGAACTTGAAACATGCTAGACACACTACCATTTATTTTTTCTCTAAGGAGAGGGAGGGGGCACAGATATTTAATCAAGAGCTTACACACAGAAATCTAATTGTGGCTACCACACAGATTATGAAAATTATTACCGTAGTTTCTATTTCTGTCTGTCTCTTGGTCTCTCTTCATTATTTTGTCCTTTGCTAGATACTGTACATGTAGTACTGAGAGAAACAAAAAAGGGAGAGAGGGAAAGGAAGAGAGAGAGAGAGAGAGTGTGTGTGTGAAAGAGAGAGAGTGAGAGAGAGAGAGAGAGAGTGGAGGAGGAGAGGTGGAATATCAGCTATTACATGTACAGTATGTGGACAAATTTTGTGTCTAAGAACCCTGGATAGTAGATTTATAATGGAAATGGTGTGTTTTGTTTTTGGGGGAAGGGTCATGGTGTCTAGGGCCCTGTAAGACAAAAGTTTCAATCAATCTCAAAGTGACAATGGCCAATCAAGATCATCATTTCATGCACATGTTTGTTTAAAAGGCTGACCCTGGTGAAAATCATCCAACAACGTTGGAAAATGCCATAAAAACCATCATCAATCAAAATCATTGTTTCAAATTTATAATCGATTCCAAACCTTTGTGTTACGGGGCCCAGGGGCGGTATTCTGAACATTGTTGTAAGTTTTGTGTTATCTTTTGTTGTATCTCCAAGAGATAACACAGCACTAAGGCCAAATAAAAAAACAAACATGTTTAGCGTCCTGTTTTTTCAAAAAATAGGAAGTAGGAGGCCCTTTTTTTTTTTTTCTTTCTTTCAAAATGGCCGCTCGGTACATTTTCCCTGACAGTCGGGGCTATTTTTTTTCAAGATGGCCGCCGACAATTTTTTTTTTTCTTTAAATCAGAAATAGAGCCATTTTAGCAGTGTTTTTTATGTTTTTTTTCTTTCAAAAAAAAAAAAAATAGGAGGCGGCCCCCAAAAAGGAAGCGGGCAGGGATGCTAAACATGTATATTTTTTAAAATGGCCTAATATTGTTGTAAGTTGGTATTCTGAAAATCATTTTATCCCTCTGTTATCTCTTGAAGGACCGTCTCTATCTTATCTTTGACCACGGTTGACACGCCCATTTGTATGGACCCTACCAATCAAAATCTATTTTTATATAAGCATGATAAGTAGGCCAACCAATAGGAATATTTTATGCCATATCTGAAGATGCGCCTAGCCCACACTAATCTTAGGCGTAATTAGTTAATTGAGCGCTTATTATGCGCGTCATCATATGCGCTGTGGCATGTGGATCATGAAGACA